CAAAAGTCTCCACAACCATTAACTGATAATTTCAAAATGTTCGCTCATTTTAATGGTATCACTGTTAATATTTTTTAAATTTTCAATTACGGATGCAGCTGGAAGATCTGAACTTCACAAGTGATCTAGCTCTTTTAACGCACAAACATCGACGAATGCAGGTGAAGATGGTCAGTATAGCAGAAGGAAGGTCTCAACGTACACAAGAGAAAAAGCAAGATTCTCCGATGCAACATAACATGCACTAACCAAATCATACTTGATTGAGAAGCTGTAAAACATACAGAAACCTTAACATATTTACACTAAAGGGGTAGCTAATGCAAATGTAAAGACACGAACTGGAAAAGTAAGGGCTGATTTTCTACAGTTGAAGAACATTTGGAACTCAAAATAACTATCAACCATTACTAAAGTCACAATTTTCAATATGAACATCAAGACGATTCTATTGGATGGAATGGAAACTTAGAGGACTTCAAAAGCTATCATTTACAAGATACAGGTGTTTATTGACAGTTGCTAACACAATGTACTGTAGATTCATTGACCAGACACTGTCAGTATCAACCTACTAGATTCAAGATGAGGAAGAAATGCGATTTATACTGCGTTCGGGGTAACAGGTGTGTAAGTATGTAAGTTTTAATTCAATGAAATAAAATAAATTCATGATATTTTGTTGCGAGATCTTTCTATTTTCAAAACATATTTTTGAAATTTCTTCAATGATGCTTAGGTATGTCCATAGAAAAAAGGTTATTTCACCCTATTATATACTTTTCGAATGATTGCTTCGATACCCCGATCTTCGCTTTTGACCATTCGATCTGTTTGTGTTAATGCGGTATGGCATAATAAACTGATGTTTGTAAGTACCAAGTTCTACGCTGCAGCTGACTGACTGACTGACTGAATAAATATTAGAATCGTTTATTGTATGTTTATAATCACATAGCATTCTCTATTCTCAATAATGCAAAATACTATGAGTTACTTTTGTGATCTGGCAGCATCATCAACAATCAAGGTGGATCCGATGCAGATGTGAGGGCGCGGATTGGCAAAGCGAAGTCTGCATTTCTACTGTTGAAAAATATTTGAAACTCCAAACAACTTTCAACCAAAACCAAAATCAGGATTTTCAATACAAATGTCAAAACAGTTCTACTATATGGAGCGGAAACCTGGAGAACTACCTAAGCCATCATCTAGAAGATAAAAGTATTTATGAACAGTTGTCGTAGCAAAATTTTTCGTATTCGTTGGCCAGACACCATCAGCAACAACGTACTGTGGGAGAAAACAAACCAGATTCCAGTGGAGGAGGAAATCAGGAAGAAGCGGTGGAAGTGGATAGGACACACACTCCGAAAAGCACCTAACTGAATCACAAGACATGCCCTCACATGGAACCTTCAAGGTTGAAGGAAAAGAGGAAGGTCAAGGAACACATGACGTCGAGAAATAGAGAAAGACATGAGAGGAATGAACAAAAATTGGACAGAACTGGAAAGGGAAGCCCAGGTCAGAGTTGATTGGAGAAAACTGGTGGGCGGCCTATACTCCATTGCGGGGGTAACAGGCGTAAGTGAGTAAGTAAGTAAGTAAGTAAGTAAGTACTTTTCTAATCTACTTGGATTTTTCTGACAAGTATTATAAGGAACACATGAGACTATTACATCGAACATATAATCATGAATTTCATGAACTCATAGTTAATGTAACATGATAAACATTACTAAAAAGTATCTAAAGGCCATTCAAAAAATATTGCACTACATGTTTAAATTAAATTGTAAAGATATCTAATTTAGTAATGGAAAATTGATTCTTCATCGTCATATGATTCATTTTTAAAAACTGTTTTATTTTTCAAAAATCATTCTTCATTTTAAAATCTTTTTTTGTTGTTGGCTTTTTGAAGATTTTTATCTGTACAAGATAAAATGTTCAAAAAGTTTCCTCAAAATAAAACGTATATCTATCGTCTTTATATCAGTAAATTCCATTTGGTTAATAAAAAAATTTTTCATAAAAAATTACCCATCAATTGAGTTTTATTTCTCTTGATTTGTGTGTAGTTTTTTCTAATTCTACAAAAATTTTATTCCATGAAATTTATGACTCTTTTGTTCTCTTTCTTTTATAAAAATAAGATTTATGATCAATTTGCATTACAGGGTTGTTGTGAAGATTGTTAAGTTACACATTTTTTGAAAGCATGAATTGATCAATGTTAGACCACACTATTAGAAACCTGGAAGCACTGAAAGATGGCCGTTTCGTCCTGGTATGGGACTCCTCAGTGGCAGTACGCATCCACTACTCCTGCACCCCAAAGGATTCGAACCTGGGACGTTCTGTATTATGCGCGAACGCCTAACCATCGCACCACTGAGCCGGTATCTAACGGTGTTAATGTCTAACTTGATCGAATTCACGGAGTTGCGCAACCTCATACACAGTCTTCGGTAGTTACTGTCTACACCCGAACAGGTTGAACTTCACTGGTCACGTCTTTCCACTAGAACTCGGAGAAGATTCCTTACGAAGCTAGTCACTAGTGAGCACAGGCAATTCGCATTACGGGGGTGTAAAGATTGTTAAGTTACACATTTTTGAAAGCATGAATCGATCAATGTTAGACTACCATTATGATCAATCATCGCTAATTAATGTATTCAATATTGAAAGGAAAATTCTATGATCAAGGTCAAACTGATTGTCGATTTTGAACTTAACAAGATATCCTCTACACTAAATGAAGTTACTGTTTTAATGTTAATTCCAGTGAATTGCAAGGATGTGGATTTACCACAGAACCAGAAGATACTATTGTCAATTTTATTTGAAGTTGCAAAAAAACACAATACTGAAGAACCTTGAAAATTGGGACAAAACCACTATACAATTCTTCTTAATTTTCACTAGTCATTCATTTATGAATTATAACTTGAATTCCTGACTGAAGCTGCTACTTTGAGGTGGTGGTCGGACTTGCCTATCGTGATGACCCAACCGAACATATATTCCTGAAAGTTCTATTATGCTAGGCAGGTCGATTGGAGAAAGATGAGACTAAAAGCAGCCACTCAAGGTCTGAGGGCAAAGTCGTACTGCTGGCTGCAGAGAGGTGTGACAGCAGTAAGGTATTTCCCTCGGACAACCAGCATAAGCAGTGATGCCTTCTCACAAAGAAGGAAAGGTTAGAAAAGGTCAACCCTAAAAATGTCGAACCTCACTCTAACTCACGGATCTTCGTCTGCCCAATAAGGGCTTTCAAGAGCGGGGCTAACACTCAAAAGACCTTTCATAAAAAGGTCGTGCGTGACCGGCCTCAGCAGTTGTCCCTTGGACTCTGTGGTCACGCTCCCAGGTCTTTAAGGCCGACACTAATCTACCTTCCCTTTCAGGTTCCTCAAGAAATATCCTTCCATGGTGTGGGCAGCCGGGAAGTGACATCCTCCCTCATACCCGTAACAGCACACGAGACTGATAACTTCGATTATTCAAAATTATTATGAAATGATAAACCAAACCACTTAGTTTTGCGAAAAAAGCTCCACAATAATCATTCAGTTGAATCACAACTTTTTTCTACCATCTTTAAATTTTTTAGGATATATATAACACATTTTTTTCAATTAGAGGAGTTTTGGAGATCACCTAATCATTGTTAGACCACCAGTGGAAACCTGTAAGCACGGAAAGACGACTGTTTCGTCCTGTAATGAGACTCATCAGCAGTGAGCATTAATGACTCCTGCTACTGGCAGTGTCCGAACCCGGGACGCTCGGTCTTCTGTAGTTACTGCCTACACCCACTGATCTGAACTCCACTGGTCAAGCGCATCTCACTAAAACTCCGAAAATTTTCTCACGAAGCTAGTCACTAGTGAGCACATTGAAGAATTTTATTTTTGGTCTCACGATGACTTATTTGTAGCTTCAATACATATAACAGTTCGAATTCTTCCAAATCAAACTTTTAATAAAATTCCCTGTGTAGATTCATATATCGTATTTTTAGTTTTATAGAAGATAAATTCGATTCTAAAATATTATGATCTTTGGCGTTGATTGTGTTAGGTGATATTAGAAAATCAAACATCTTACTGTAAATGAACAATCAGAAGAATCGTCTGAGACTTGGTTTCATGATAGTTGGCACTCAACACTCTCAATTATTAACGATTCTGATGATAATAATAATCATGAGATATGCATTATTGTTACTACCAAATAACTAACTTGCTAATCTGAAACCCAAGTTTAGGGTTTCTTGTTGATTGCCTTCAAAATAGATTGTTATGCTCGTCAATTGATATACTTGAATGCTATTACGAGTTCACCTTATTTGGTAAACAAGAGTGAGGACAAATGATCCAGTAACACTATAGGCTACTCTAAACCAAGCGTCCCAAGGCCTCACTAAGTAGAAGAAGAAGTCTTAATATGGCGTAGAAAGTGTATTCTACAAGCACTCAGAAAATATAAGGTTTAAGAAGAAAACAAATGGAGTTTATTTATCATGATAAAAACGTCCTTGGAAGAGCTACAAAATAGCATACTAAAATAACAGACGAACCAATGATAGTCAAGGATGTTCCTCGTGGGAAATGTAATCTCAAGGTCAACTGATTAGTCCACGCTCGAAAACATACAATCCAAAATTAGGACCTTTGTCAAGTGAGTTCTGTGCATCTAACGTCCCCAACATGTGTTGAGAGAGAGAGAGAGCTATATCGATAAATTAGAAACATGACATCCAGAGAAAAAAAAAAGGAATACAATCAACGAATTCCAATATCATCTAGCCAATCAAAATTCACACTTCCAAAACCAATCAGAAAATTGTATTTTTATTCTATCTATAAAAACAAGCGCGAAATGCATGACATCTGATTCAAACAAATGTCAATGTGATATTGATACAATATCACATTTTTTTTTTCATTTGTTTACAAAGAACCGCCCCCCGCCAAAAAAATCACATTATGTCCGATAATAATAATAATGATAATAATAATAATCATCATTGTATAAATCATGAAAATCATTGTATGGAAATTTCTAATCGAAATGTTACTTTCCATTCTCTATGTCCATTATGTTGTATATTTATACAGGAAATTAGAAAATGTCATGAACGAACAAAACAATCATTACCAATGGATAATAATACTACTACTAATCATTGTCATTTAATTTTGAACAATAATAATAATAAACAAACATTAACTCATTCAACAGATCCAATTAAAGTTGACAAGCCTAATTCACATACAACCTCATCCACATCACCATCACCATCATCGTCGCTGAAACATGATAATCATCTCTCTGTCATTCTACTAGATGAATTAAAACGTTTCTGTGAAAACACTACAATACGTGGTCTACCACGTATAGTTCGTGCACATAATCGTTATCTACGTACATTATGGTTAATGTTAGTTTGTATATTAATATTAGGCTGTTTTATATGTATGTTTTTCTTAGCTAAACAATATTTAGAATATAATGTTATCCATCCACCACGTGTACTACGACATACCACTAGTCCATTTCCATCAGTAACTGTGTGTAATTTTCGTCCGATTTCACCGGATGGTTTAAAATATTTACAAATGAAAGGATGGAAAACACCTAGGCATTTTGTATTAGATATTGCTAGTTATGCTCAATATTTGTTTTATGATAAACAAAAAATTGATGAATACAATGCTGCAAGTGCTGCTTTCTCATTAGCTGGTTTTTTGGAAAGTTTACCAAATAATGAAGAACGACGTAAACTTGGTTATCAACATAATAAATTGATTATTAAATGTCAAGTAAGTGTGTTTTATTGACAAATTTTTATCTATTTATCTATTGATTAGGTAGGTTAATGTTAAAAAATCATTGTTAGAGACATATTAGAAACGTGGAAGCATAGAAGGACAGATGTTTCGTCTTGATATGTGACTCATCAGTAGTGGGCATCCATGAGTCCTGCTATTGACAGAATTCAAACCGGGGACCTTTGGTCTCGTGTGCGTGAACACCTAAATTAACTTGTAACTAGCTAGCTTCGTGAAGAAATATTCCGAGTTCTAGTGAGTGGAATTCAACCGTGTCAGGTGTAGGCAGTTATCTGCCAAAGACAAATGAATGAGGTCACGCAAAATTCATTCTATGCCATGGCTTCTCATCAGCTGTGTGTGTGTGTGTGTGAAGTCATTTAAAAAGATGGTTGTAAAAATAGGCAAAAGGATGAAACAGTAATCATATAAAATCCGGAAATAAAATAGATTATGTTGAGAAAAATTTACCCACTTGAAAATAGATTTAAAAGACGCAGAGAAACAGAGAAAGATGATATTATATGCCTAACATTCGAGATTGACAGGATGGATTACATCACAGAGAAATGATTTAAATGCTTACAAATGAACATTTATAAATTTACGTATTAGAGAGAAAATTCAAAAGTAGGAAATTAAGTAAGCCATGATTATGAGGAAGCAATAAATGCAATGAAATATATTTATGTCTCGATAATGAAGTAATATGAAGTTAGTATAAGTAGTAGGATAAATTGATACTGAAAATAAATACAGATTGTGAAATAAATCGGTGTATAAAACGGTTTGGCAAGAGAGATATATATTGAAATCATGAATCAATCATTGTTAGACCAGCAGCATTAGAAATCTTGAAGCACTGAAAGACATCTGTCCCGTCCTGGTATGAGACTCATTAGCATTGCCCATATACGACTGGCACTACTCGTAGGAATCGAATCTGGGACCTTCAGTTTTCCGCGCTAACCGTTAACCTCCGAACCACTTAACCGGCATCCGACGGCGTTAATGTCTAACTCTGACCAAACTATCGATTTCGCACAACCTCATAAAGTGTCTTCGATAGTTACTGCATACTCACGACAGGGTTGATTTCCACTGGTCACTCACATCTTCTCACTAGAACTACGAGAATTTCCCACACTAAGCTAGTCACTAGTGAGAGTGTTTTTCATATGGTTTTTCAATATAGAGTTATGGAGATTGTTGTTTTACATTAAAATCGGGAATCTAACGATGACTGCTTCACGGTTTCATTATAAAACAACGATCTGTATATAAAAGAGGAATTTAATTGTGAATTTAAGTATGGTAAATACTGTAATAATACCACTACTAATGGTACTAATACTAATGATAATAACTGTTTGCAGGAAAAAAGCCAAATACAAAGCTGAAACATATTTCTCATACATCTATAGTTTAGATTTCATTTCATCGATAATGTAATGTTATTTTACATTTTGTGAATTAAACAATGAAGATATAGATTCCTAGAGTTAAAAAGATTCTTTAAACAACCGTAAATACGTAGTTCAAATCAACCTCATATTGATACGTATTTAAGATTGAAGTTAGCTGGAGGTTTCTGTAAAACAATAAATATAGTACAATGTAGAAAATATCGTTAAAATATAAACAAACTTAACGAAATTCGAGAGCATGTTTTAATGAAATGTGTACAAAATATGTAAAATGGAAGGTTAGAATATTGATTAAAATAGTAAAATAAACAAATGAAGCGTTAACTAGTTTACATACTCACTTCTGTCTGTTACCCCCAATGGGGCATAGGCCGCCGACCAGCATTCTCCAACCTCTACCCTTTCCTGGGCTTCCCTTTCCAGTTCTATCCAATTTTTTTCATTCTTCTCATGTGTGTCTGTCTCCATTTCTCTGCGTAACATGTTCTTTTGGCCTTCCTGTTTTCCTTTGACCTTGAGGGTTCCAAGTGAGGACTAGTTTAGTGACGCAGTTAGGTGATTTAGGCAATGGAAAAATTGAGGAAACATGGCAGAAATCGATGAAGTCACTGACAAGTGAACTGAGTCATGTTGGTAGATGTAGACTACCTGGTTGGGGTCGGCGAGACGAAAGTCACCGATGGTTAGAGACCTTGAACGACATGGCTCAAAATCGTTTGCAATGGCGCAAGTGCATCCATTCGTTATGCTCTCTCAAATCCTAATCTTCTGGATTCGTTAATAATTCTACCTTTGTCTTTCTAACCTTATCTGACTGAATGATACTTCTTGAATAATATCTTCAAACCCTAGTCTTCTTCATTACCATTAATACCTCTACTATCTTTACCACTATATGATTTGATCTGACATTTGCGTCTCTGTACTGTGGTATGGCAATCTGAACTTATGTACATACGTACGAAGTTCTGCGTTGCAACTGACTGACTGATTTCCGCAATGTGCGTCCTATCCACTCCCAAAGCGCTCATTAACTAATCAGATCATTAATAAATGTGTAAACATCTATCTAATTATGTTATCAGCGAATTCAGACATAATGACGGCAAGAAAACTGATTTAATACTGATGAAAAGATTAATTACTTTTTAATTAATCAATTAAATTCATTGATTTCTCATGTCTTGTGTAAAGTCATTGATGAATAAACCTTATTCAATGTAATTTAATGTTTGTAACCGTTGTACAATGAAATTTGTTTGAAACAAAGTGAAAATTGTATAAGATTGTATAAAATAGAATTTTGTTCACCTTAAGATATTATTAGCTTTATAGAAATTTTGATAGAACATTTCAAACATAGTACTGTTTATCAAGACATCAAAACTAAAAGATAGGAAACTACATTAATTATTTTGATAAAATACATGTGAAATACTACTTGTAAATATTATTAATTGCTTAACAACGGTTATTTATAAAAAGATCATTCTTTATCATAATGGTTTTTCAATTAGAGTTATGGAGATTAGTGTTTTTACACATTTAAAATCATCAATCAACCATTGTTAGACCATCATTGAAAACCTGGAAGCAGTGGACGACCGTTTCGTCCTGGTATGGGACTCATCAGTGGCAGTGAGCATCCACAACTCCTGCACCTAGCAGGATTAGAACCCGGAACCTTCGGGCTTGAGTGCGAACGCCTAACCTCTGTAACACTGAGCAGGCATCCAAAGGTGTTAATGTCTAACTCTGATTGATCAAGGGATTTTGCGCGACCTCAACCCTGTCAGGTATAGTCAGTAAGTACCAAAGGCAAATGAGTGAGATCGCGCAAAATCCCTTGGTCAATCATAGTTGGATATTTGTTTTTGTATTGAAAAGAGTAAGAGTAAATAATTAAGGCTGAATAATATGAGTTGATCTGATTTTGTACAGTTCCTATCAGCTGCTTATGACTATTCATATTTTAATCATCTAAATAATCGTAAAATTTACACTCTTATAACAGTACACTAATAAAATGATTCAAGTGTATGAAATAGTTACTTTGTTTGTGACATTTCGAATATTTTTGTGTTGTTTTTTATGTTAAGAATTGTATTTTTATCAGTTTACATTGACATACAAACATCTTGATGTTGTTGTTTCCAACTTATCAAACCCTTGTATTGTTGTAACAACATTCACTATTGGCAAATTAGATATTATTAACTTACTTACCTACTTACTTACTTACTTACTTACTTACTTACTTACTTACTTACTTACTTACTTACTTACTCCTGTTACCCTCAAGGGAGCATAGGCCACCGATAGGAATTCTTCAACCAACTCTATCGTGCGTCTTCCTTTTGTAGTTCTATCCAATCGCTATTCGTTAATTTCATGTCAGCTTTCAATTCTCGGCGTTAGGTGTTTTTCGGTCTTCCTCTTCTCCTTTTACCTTGAGGGTTCCATTTGAGGGCTTGCCTTGTGATGCAGTTGGGTGATTTCCACATTGTGTGTCCTATCTACTTCCAACGTTTCTTCCTGGCTGCTGCTTTCAGTGGAATCTGGTTTGTTCTCTCCCACTGTAGGTTGTAGTTGATAGTGTCTTGCTAACGGATCTGAAGTATTTTGCGTAGACAACTGTGAATAAATACAAATACAACCTATAATTGAATGAAACTATTAGCAAATGTAATAATATACAATGATGTATTTTGTATTAAATCATTGGAAACAATTTATTTAGAAAAAAAAACAATAACAGAATGTGTAACCTGTAACAAGAAAAATTGAAAAGAAATCTTCTGTTTATTAAATTAAATAACCTAAATATTTAGCCAACTTGTAACGATTTTTTTTTTCGCCTGATTGTTAATGTTTAACATTGGAATTACTGTTGTGATGCGAGCTACTTATAAGTAGTATATGACGTGAGCGTCAACGTAATGTCTGGCAGCAAAAGATGGGGGGAAGATCAAGAAACGAAGAGTTAGAAAACAATGGAATTAGTATGAAACGCATGAACAGTGACATTGGATTGATGTTTTGCAACAGGAACAGTCCAGTTCGATATGATGGACTGATATTTTGCAAATGAACGATTTACGATATGGTTTTCCAATTTTACTGAGTAATATATATATGAATCCCTAAACGATGATCCCATTGTTACCATTTACTTGCAAGCATTTATCATAGATGAATATTCAATGTTCACATTGACATTGGAAATCAATATCCATCTCTTCAAACACCAATACGTTATATACTGATCTATTAAGTTTATATTTCCACTAATTTATAAAAAATAAAAGTAGAATACGATATAAATGTACTGTATATGCTGGTAGTATTTGGTATTTAAGGTGAACAGTGTTGATTTTGACTCTGTGTTTGAATGATTAATACTAAAATTTTCCAGTTAGGATAAAACGATTGTCTTGATTTCTATTGCGTATATATATGTATCTGACATTAATCAGCGGCCATAGTTTTTCTGTGGCGAAAGAAGAGTTAAATGCAATTCGACGAAGGAGGAATAATAAGTTACTTACAACTTCTCTCTGTCCT